CTCAAATACTAAACTTGATCTTTCGGAAATAAATTCGAGATTTAGAGTTATGCCATTGTTTTCAGCCCCAAAATGGGAGAGGAAGATGGTAACTGTGTCATGTCCCGATGCTCGGGATGACTTCTCACCCTGCCTCACACAGACATAAACAAGGGAAGGCTAGAGTTTTACTGAAACGGAAGAAACAGGGAGCCTCCCAGTACAGTTTCTTCCTTTTTAAAAATTTCTTTATTTTTATTTATTTGTTGATTAATTTCAGAGAGAGGAAGGGAGAGGGAGAGAGATATAGAGACATCAGTGATGAGAGAGAATCATTGATCGGCTGCCTCCTGCACAGCCCACACTGGGGATCGAACCCACAAGCAGGACTTGTGCCCTGACAGGAATTGAACCATGACCTCCTAGTTCATAGGTTGGCACTCAACCACTGAGCCACACTGCCAGGTGCAGTGCACTGTTTCTAAGTGTGTCACCCATCAGGTTTCCCTGAGAAGAGGAAGCAGGGCTCTGCACGCTAACTTGCTGGGGCACTTGTGCCAAGTGAGCCCTCCAGTGCCTGCTGCAGGCGACGGACCTCCAGGTTTTTGTTGACATCCTTATGTCCTTGAAGCCGGTACCGGGTCCCCAGCAGACAGTCCAGGACACGCGCTGGAAAGCGAGTCAGGTAGTCAGAGAATTCCTGCAGGTAGGCAGCCAGGCTGCTCAGAGGCAGCAGACTGAACCAGGACCGGAACAGGTCTTCATCCACACTCAGCAGGTATTTCTTCTTTACCATGAGCTGGAGTAATTTCTTCCTGCGGAGGGAGAGCGGAGCAGGGAGAGGGCGGTGAGCACTGCAATGCCGACCACAGACCAGGAGGGAGGATCGAGGAAGCTTGGGTTTAAAAAATAATGTCAATGCTAAGAGGTGGATCAAATGAAAAGGAAACAATAACATTAAGAATTCACCATGGATGAACCTTGAAAACATGATGTTGAGTGAAATAAGCCAGACACAAAAGGACAAATCCTGTGTGGTTCCACTGACAGGAGTACCTAGTGTGGTCCCACACACAGGGGCAGGAAGCAGAGGGAGGTAGCCAGGGTGGGGAGGGTGGGGAGTGAGCGCTTCACTGGATGGAGTCACAGTTTGGAAAAGAGCTCTGGAGTGACAACTGCACAACAATTCGAATGTGCTTAATGCCTCTGACTGTGCACTTAATGTGGTTATACTGGTAAATTCTAGGTTATGTATGTTTTACAATAAAAAAACACACTAAGAATCCACCATTGTTTCCAGCTCTATTGAGATGTAGTTGATAGATAACGTGGTATCACTGGAAGGAGTAACAATGTGTGGATTTATACACTTGTATGTTGCATCACGTTGGCCGCTGACCTCCGAGGTCAATGCTCCTTTGTTTTCATCCCCCTTTGGTGGTGAGAACATCTGAGATCTACTCTCTTAGCAACATTCATGTCTGTAATGCAGCACCACTGACTAGTCACACCACTGTGCTAGCTCCCGGAACCCACCTTACAGCTGGAAGTCTGTAGCCTCTGACCAACATCTACCCCTTCCCCCAGCCCCCAGACCCTGGTAACCAAATTCTACTCCGTTTCTATGAGTTTGACATTTTAGGTTCCATAGATGCGTGAGATCATACAAAGTTTGTCTCTCTCTGAATCATCTCACTTGGCTTAATGCCCTCAAGGTTCATTCATGTTGTACGAACAATAGGACTGCCTTCTTTTTCAGGGCTGAATAATACTGCCTTTTATAGATACACCACGTCTTTTTGATCCATCCATCCCTTAACAGACACTGAGGGTCTGCACCCCACCGATGCACACACACTGGGCATGGAATTACAGACAGGATCTTAAAAGGCAGCACCAGTGGGGCATGCTTGGCAAAACGTGAGCATTAACTTTTTGTCCTTCAGCTGCATTTGTGTTTTCTTTGATTTCAACTGAATGTGTGCACTTAAACTGGATCCACCATTTTCCCTTGTAGATTGTGATTTCTGTGTTTCCTCTTAGGAAAAGCTGGTACTTCACACCCTGAAGATTGCTAACAGGCCATTTTTGTATTTTTCTTTTGTATTATATGTTTCACATCTTTTAAAGAAGTCATTTTACGAAAAGAGATGCATTGACTGTGTCCTAGAAGCAGGACTGAGCGCACCAGGGAGGTCCACCGAGACTCATGTGGGGAAGTGGAGCCCACCACTTACTCATGTGCCCTTTTCTCCCGAAACTCCGAGAAAGAGAGTCCTTCGAGGGCTGCCCAGATGTTCTCAGGCTGAATCCTGGGCTTCCGTCCTGGGGGGCGTGGCCCCATGCAGAGGTGGAACACGGGCAGGGTGCCCACCCAGAGGTCCACCCCCTGGTTCATGCTCCTTCCACACAGGCTCACCAGGTACTCTCGCCACCTGGAAACGGGACAGAGACCCCTCCGTGAGCTGAGGATGCCAGTCAGCTCACCTGTGGTCTGACGTCCCACCAA